TTTTTTTTTGGTTCGGCTATTCTAATGCCGTTCTTCTTCCCTCCTCCTCATCCTCCTCCTCTCCCTCCTATTCCTCCTCATCTTCTTCCTCCTCCTCCTCCTCATCATCATCATCATCATCATCTTCTTCCTCCTCCTCCTCCTCCTCATCATCATCATCATCATCTTCTTCCTCCTCCTCCTCCTCCTCCTCCTCCTCCTCTAATGTCGGCACACAGTCCCTACCTGTGCTCGGGAAAATGCATGGCATTTATCGAATCGGCGCACTGTGCGCAGAGGTCCCGAGGCCCTGTGCGCACAGCGCACAGCGCACAAGTGCGCTCAGCGCACGGCGCACAGTGCGCTCATGGAAAATGGGCCGCACTGCACACAGCGCCCCGTCCCGCACTGCGCACCGCACCAGGGCGCCGCAAGTATGCTGCTGACCCTTTTTTTTTTTTTTTTTGTTTCTGCTGACCCTACCGCCTTAACCTGAATAAGATGCACCCTGATCACATAGTATACAAACTGTCTTTCTGGTACAATACATAGGACTTCTGCATGCACCCTCCGCCCTACAGAGAGACTTTTGGCCTTAGAACTTCGACTCAGTGAAAACTTGGGATCCAAGAATATTGCCTTGCCAGTTTTGACCATGGAACTCTACAATTATTTTTTATCTTTATTCCTTTTGAATTCTCTCCTTCAGAAATGCACCAGCCCCCTCCCCCCCCCGCCTTTCTTCTTAGGTTCTGCTCTCCCCCACATAAACCAACCAAATCATAAACTGTACAGGTTATGCAGCCAAACAACCCCGATGACCAAAAGGGCGGGGGGAAAGGGCGCGGGGGGAGGGGGGAGAAGGGAGAGTGAGAATCGAGGCAAACTGCCCATAAAACCAAAATCGGAATCCAAGACTTTGAAGGCTCTCCATGCTCCGTTCTCAAGAAGCAACAGCGGCAAACCAAAGAAAGACCAGGATATAACAAGAGACAAGGGAAGCAGAAAAGGCCAAGACATCTGCAGACCTTAGGACAAGAGGTCAGGGGTGGGGGGTCGGGGGGGAAAGGTGGGAAGAGATAACGGGGAACATACCTGAACAACACTGCCTGATGTAGTCTTCGTGAAATTCCCTCGTGACGGAAGCCTGTCCAGGAACGCCATTTGCTGATAGCGTTACAACAAGACCTGCGCTCTTTGTGCCTCCTGTGTTAATAAGCTTCTTTCTCCAACGGGGAAGTCAAAGAACAACCAGGTCTGCAAACCTCCTGGTCACGAAGGACGCCAGTGGTAGATCAGCTCAGGCTCATTCATGGAAATCCGTATTACTGATGTTTCACTATCTTAGACAGTAGTGTTAGTCTCACTTTCAGTGCCGCAACAAATCGAAGACATCTTGCAGCAGTCGGGGAAGTCGAAGAACAACCAACTGGTCATGGAGGACTCAAGTGGTAGATCAGCTCAGGCTCATTCACAAATATCTGTTCTTGGAAATTCGTATTCCTGATGATTCACTATCTTAGATAATAGTGTTAGTCTCACTTTCAGTGCCGCAACAAAGCCAAAACAACCTGCAGCAGTTAGACAAGCAGAGGCAAGTTACTCCATTATTTAAAAGTGGCATCAATGAAATGGCAATACAATAGTTCAAAATTCAAATCAATAATGCCAATCAGATGTAATTCCTACTCCATAGGTACATCCCTTCAAATCCAGATCTGTCATATCCCTGACATCTGACCTAGAGGTTGTCATCATTTCTTGCTTTCAATTGGTTACACATCACCTAGAGGTTGTCATACCTTCTTGTGTTGGATTCGTTACACACCACAGGATCACTCTAGTAGTAAATTGGCTTGTGAGGGATGCAGAAAGGTACACACTGGTAGGACAGATCACCCATTAACTCACTCTCTCTCTCTCTCTCTCTCTCTCTCTCTCTCTCTCTCTCTCTCTCTCTCTCTCTCTCTCTCTCTCTCTCTCTCTCTCTCTCTGGGTGCAGATT